CCCTTTCCAAGGCTTAGTCCTGGGGTGAAGCAAACCAGCCCTTTTGGCGGAGCTGCTGGACCAGCTGCACCACTTGCGTCATACTCTCCTACGTACCAACCGAGTTGAAGTAAACCGTCGACCGTTGGGGACCCCATCCCCTCCCCAACATTCAGCATACGGTCCCAGCCGAAACGCCAAAAGGGCTGGTTTGCTTACCTCCCACAGCCGTGGCAAGTGCGATCATAAAACTTGACCGATACCATCACTGCCACTTCGCTTGAATAGTACAATAGAAAGGTTGCCGACATTGCATCAAGCAGTTAAGTAGCGCCGCGAGGGAAGAGATTATATCGCGTATAGGTACAATTCTTCCGCCAAAAATAAGAATTTTTTTGGGTTTGGTGGAAATCAACGCTCTGATGAGTAGACCCTTAGGAGCATGAAATTAATTCGAAGTTGATTACAATACGTCCATTCTCCTTCAATACTTCTACTAGCTGCACAGTCAAGAGACAGCGCGGATGTGCAAAACGCAATGTACTGATGTTTTTTCGCGAAACCTCACTCGTTCCTTATTTCCCCTCGCCGCGCTGTGACGTCAAAGTTACGTCACCCGTACACGCTCGCGTCCGCGCAGCCGGTGAGCTACCCATGGGGACAATGCTGTGTAGCAAATGCGCAGCTATAAAACTAGCAGTAGTTGCGCACAGCTCTTTTCGTCTTCAACCATTTATCATTTCTCTTCAGGCTTCGAGCCGCTTGTGAGCAGTCGATCATTCGTGCGATTGGATTCTCGCATGCATTTCGTGTGTGGAACTGGTTGCTTCGACTTGTCTCGTCGGAAACAAGGTAACAGGTCTTGGTTATTCGGCTTTGAAGGAGCTTAATCGTTCGCAAACAATCATGTCCGCGCTCGCTAATAGCTTGCTAGGTTCGACCACAGAGCTGGTGCCAGTTTGGTGACTCGCAACTTGTGACAAGCACTTGCTGGGTTCGGTATTCATCAGCGCGCGCATGACACTGGCGATGTCAGCGTCTCTTTCACCCGTCATGTTTCTCGTCCTTGCTCATTGGAGCTCACAATACATATCTGCTATATATACATATATGCTGCTCGAAAGCTAGGCATAATCGACACTTGAATTTTTTTGACGATTTCTATCCTCTTTTTTCCTTCGGAATTCAATCTGCATCTAGCGCTCCACATTTGAGACCCCACTACTCCTCCGTTATGGCCTCTAGACTGCTTATTCACCCGATGACTTCGTGTAACTTCGTCCCAGTCTTTTTTTTAGTAACAATACCTATATAAAGCTACGTATATGGTGAATTCGTGGGCGGAGTTCATATTTGATTTTAAGCGTTTCTGACATCATCCTGCAGTACCTCACAGCACTCTCGTCATACAGTTCGTTGTCGGAAGTTGTGTCTTCTCAGGTGGTACGGGTACTTCCACATCCATGGAGACTCTGCTTTCTGGCTGGCCCTTTGGCAGGTGAGCCTCTTAGTGCTTCGAGTATTGGTTTCTAATTAATGAAACAGGCACACTCACAATTTGTTGATTTTACTCATTTATCTGCTTTATTTACTTGTTTGTTTGCGTTGTTATAAAGACCTAGCGTCTTTATATCACATATAGGAATGGCGCCTTAGTGCTTCGCTCGAAACTTGTCGTACCACTTGCAAATCCAACAGCGATCTTCTTGTAGTGAATTACGAGCGAACTAAACTCGCTCATCCGCCCAAGTAGCTTTCTCGAGATTCAAATAAGAATGGGAGAGAATCATTGCCACCCTTCTTTCATAAGTGCTCTCTTAGCTTGACGAAACATTTGCTCTGCGAAAATCTTCTTGTCTTTGTCTACCGTGCGATGGGAAAACGCGGGAAGTGTAAATTTCTGGGATGTCGAAAATCTCGGAACTTTGAGCAAAACTCGAAGTTTCAGAAATTTCGAAATTTTTGCTCGGTTTTTAATCCACCCCCTTCACCCCTCCCCCCCCCCCACCAAAAACTATTATATGTCCAGTCGGCGAAACGAATATGATCTGATTTACTACCTACACTGAGGATGGGCTCTTCCAAGAGGGTCGTGTTAATTCCGAAATTTGTCCAATTTTGTGGAAGATAGTATTTTCTCCTAGGAGTATTATTTCAAACCTTTTTAACTCGTCGAAGACTTTCACGTGGCGGCCGCATTAGACTTCATTGAAATTTTAAAGAATCTCATTAAGCACCTTGGAGAGAAAAATCTATCGGATAATGCTGAAGAAACCTTATCGAATGAGTTAAAAAAGAAACCAAGGAAATAGCTCAATATGGGCATGGGCTCCAAGGTGTTATTATAACATACTGAGGGATGGAGCACTTATCTAATTTTGGTGAGACTTCGAATGCGTGGACCAACTTAATAACAGCCCTCCTGTCATTGAGAACAGTATGGAAAAAACCGGAAGCCTCTCGTGCACTTTAGTATTCTTCAGCATCGCAATTTCAATTTGTTTCAGCGAAGATGGTTCAACATCTTCACGCGTTCCTCTACACCATCGCTGTCATACTGCAATCGTCCGGGGTTGACGGTCGTCTTCGTTCGCTGTGCTTTAAAGCGTGGACAATACAACTGACAGCCCATGAGCAGGTATTCTGGGGTTCCAAAAGCGGGCCACTTTCATAGCTGTTCCTTATTGGTGTTGATGGGATTACAGATGTGATTCCAGGAGCTCCTTATTCTCACTTGTAACATCCTTGGCACCGTCGGCGGAGTGCTGTCAGAGCCGTCTATCTCTGAGAACTGGATAACCGAGTCTGCTGATCCGTCTCATAATGTCCAGCAAGGCAGCGGAAATGTTGACGTTAAGGTAACTTCAATAATAGGCGCTTTCCAGACCTTCCAAGAATCTGAACACACACTTGAATGTAGTCTTCAGGGTCGTATAAGTTCGTGCTTAGTTCAGAAAAGGCGCATTTGTGATTTCGGAAAGGGAGGTTCGCATTTTCGGATTTGAGCAAGGTTATCATAGTGAGAACGAATGTTGCCGGAGGTCGTTGGAGAAGGTTTTATTTGGATGGGTTCTTTTTGACGAATTTGGTGAGAAGTTTCACGAAAGTGGTGTGATTTTTGGGAAAATTGGTGATCTCCGCTTGATTATAGAGCAGTCCCTTTCTTTCACCCTCCCTTCCCTCCCCCCTCCCCTCCTGCGCTCGACAGGATGGGATGTGTCGACTGGTCTTAGAATCGAATACCATAGGAACAGCCGTGATGGAGGGTGATGGTCGGAGAAGGGACAAGAAGGGTCGTTTTGGGGGAGCATTTTAGGACTGGTTGGTGATGGTGGGTCGTCGAGTCTGCCTAGAAGGTGAGGGATTGCAAAATTTTTGAAATGTGCCAACTGCGGTTGACCTTTCATGTAATCAAGTATGCTTCTTTCTTTCTCATAACTAACTGTTGTCAATCATAATGGAACGTTTCCGTAGCTGCCTCCTCTGCCTTCCACAATAATCCCTTCAAAAAGTTAAATTTTTGAAAACTGACCTTTTTTCCTAACGGGTACTGGTTTCAGATTATCAGTGGAGCACGAGAGAAAAGAAACTAGTTACACATTCGGTCACTCAGCAACTCAAAATGAAATAAAAATCCTGTAGTCTTGGTAAATGTATTCACTCAACTTGCAGCGCACTGTATGAGGTCGGGGCGGTGAATTCTGGAGCCACTTTAAGTGCGAAGTCAAATTTGTGAGGAACTGTTACAAGAACGAAGGGCAAAACAGCCAACTGAGAGATACATTCTATTTGGAATGCCAAAGATGAGGCGCCCTTAAAGGCAAAGTTCGGGCTCAGACCCACTTAATAAGCCCTTATAGTGGCTAGAAGTGCGTGGGACGCAACTGCAGGCGACGCGCCACTTCCCGCATCGAAATGCGTCACTAAGACGCTAGGCGCTAAGGACTTTGACACGCTCCACCTGTTGCGACACGCTCCGCCCACCGCTCGATATCTTGTCTGCGTCGCTAACTTGATCTGCTATGCTCTCTCTACTCGGACTTCTCTACGCTCTCCGCGCTCACATTATCTCTCATCTCCCTGCCGGCCTTTCTTCTCCGCAGCGTAGAGCAAAAGGCTCGTATTTCCTGTGTATTTCACGATTTTTTCCTTTTTTCTCCACTGGCGGTCCACCTCCCACCCCTACTTCACATTTGAGTAGGAATTACCTCATCAATTTAATCCTGAATCTTGCCTTTAATAAGCGGCTGGACAAACTTTGGAGTGTCCTGCAAAATCCTGCTTATATGATATCAAGGTAATCGTTTCTCCGAAAGCAGAATCCAACAACGTGACCACAGGGGCCCCCAACCTCAACAGCGAGGTGTTCCATTGAAAAAATAATACAGATGAGGAAAAATATTGAAAGCGCTGGAAATAGAGAAATTAGCGGTGGTCAGTGCTGCAGAACATCAACCTTTTCAGGAAATGCGTGATGTGACGAGTCATGCCCGAATAGAGGCCAGTTCACGGCAAGCGATGGTCGTTTGTCTGACCGATGGAAGTCCAGAGACTTTTTGGGAAAGCGGAGATGAGGTTAGGCTGCTCGTTTCTCCTCCTTTTATGACCTTTTTTGAGTTGATGGTCACTCATTGCTCTTATATCTACTTTTTCTTTCCAATTTATCTCGGTGAAGAATTTGGCAGTTTGGAAACGCACTTGATCGGTTTTAATGAATACAGCTCTCTGAACAACAATGTGCCCCTTATAAGACAAACAGTTTCTAGTGGATTTGTTGTTATTTTTTCTTTAGGCTTTTTTTCTTCTATTTTACAACATTCAGGACAAAAGCCGATCTCGCACGTTGAATGTGACGTTCGACGGTTGCTCACCTATACTTCTTTGTCTGTTCATCGACAATGCGCGGGATGAGGCTTGTCGCACCTCGCAAATCACCTTTCGCGCTGCAACATCTGACGGGTCGCGACGTGATCTTATGCTGAAAAATCTAGATCAGGTTGGGTGGATCTGTCTGCTCTCCGACCCGCTTGAATGAATCCCTTGTAATATCTACCGATACTTTTTTTTCAGAATTTCTGCGGTTGGGTGAAATGCTGTGTAGCCAATGTGTCACATGTGAACGTGTCTTTGAAAGGACCTCATAACGCTTCCAGAGTGCGGCAGGTAGGCTCTTAGCCTTGCGTTTGCAACAGTTACAGGATGTCCCAAGTTTACACCGCGCTCTTACGGACAAAACAAATCTGCTGAGCAGAGCTTCGCCCCAGGGTCAACCTTGCGTTGCGCAAATTCCAAAATTTTTACGACCCCCTTCCTTTTCGGAGGGTATCGGTACGACCCCCCGTATTAACTATTATGTCTTTCACATAATTTAATGCTCATCATTGATGTATGGGCAGTCACCAACATGGAGAAGTGGTGGACCGTGGTCAATCCGCGCGCTTTGTCTCGCTCAGAGGAGGGAATCGAGGCAACATGAAGTTTTATTCATTAAATAGAAGGAATTTCCAAATTTTTGCGTAAACCAATACATCATTTAATCGTAAAGATTTCTACTTTCAGAAACTTTTTTTCGATCTCTCAATTTTCCTTACCTTATAATCTGAAAAACTAAACCTTGTAGCAATTACGTTGCAATCCAAACCCCTCCATTCAGAAGGTTATATTTTTTCAGAAGCGGTCTCATGGAACCGGACACCAAAATTTTAAAAATATAAATAGTTTTCTTCCTGAGGAGTATTTGAAATGTTGTGGATGTTCAATATTTCAAAAAATCGTCCCGTTGTTCCGTTTTCCGATTTTTGTGCACACGCGAGTTTTCGACATTCAAACATTCATAACTTTCTTCATAATCAACTTTTTGCAGATGTCTAAGGCTAATTAGAAACTAGAAGATTAGAGCTTTCGAATAAGTGCTAAAACTTTTTAAAATAATCACTCGCTCAAAAAATAGTCCCGTTGTTCCGTTTTTTCCACCTTGATTTTTTTCAAGCCATTTTCCTGGACCGCGACTATGCAGTCTTCAAAGGCCCATAACTTCCTTCAAAATTAATGTGATGAGAAGCGGTAAAGATGTTAGAATCCACTCGAAGAGTACTTCATAACAAGTGTGAAATTTTCCTGAAATTCTTTCTTCTGCCTCAATTTTCCTAAGGGGTCTCTAGAATTCAATTCAGCAAATTCGCTACACTTTGTTCGCTTAGATTTATTTGAAAGCATCGAAATCTTCTTCAGGAAAATTGGCTGAAGAAGATTTCGATGCTTTCAAATAAATCTGAGCGGCCTTCAGGCCACTGACAGAGAAGGCGTTTTTATGGGAAAATATACGGATATACGCCATGCACCTGTCTCGTATATACGCCATGCACCTGTCTGTGGACAGAAGTCGCACTCGCATTTGAAAGTCCTCCATTTTCCTGAAGAAGGTGTTAGTATCGTGATTGAGTTGCATTGTACTGTTATATGGTACTCTTGTTTCACTTCCCCATGAACTGCTCTACACTTTGTTCTCCTTGGGATTTCAGGAATGTTCGATCATCGAAGACAGACCATGTTTTTGCACTACACTAACAAAGTTTTTGGCTATTGTAATCTTGATCTATGCTGTCGAGCGAAAGCGCCGTCCGTGTATTAAGGATATAATAATGGCTGATAGTGAGACTTATAATGCTCTGCATGCTCTAATGCTCCCATGGAGCTCTTGTCTGTGTGACTCTCCGACAGCTGCACGGTGCAGAGCTCCTGGAGAACATTAGAGGTGAAAGTGCACTGCCCGGACACTGCACTTTTCAAGCCGTCTTGCAGCCCGTCTCTGGATACGACCCCCTCCCTTTTCGTTCGGCCGAATACGACCCCCTCGTTGTTCTTTGCGCAACGGGCGGTTGACCCTGCTTCGCCCACCGTAGACGTGGCGTGGCAGGCGCCCCCTTGGGCGGTGCCGACAGCGATGCTTTTAGATTCGATTATATATTTTGAGAGAAAAGAAGAGCCGGGAGTATGTGCTAGAGACTCGTCAAACTTGAAGAAAATGGGGAAGTTTTCCTAGTAGGCAGTGAATTCACCGGTCATACCTTCACAAGGATCCTGTTATGGTCCCCACGACTCTGGAAGTTTCTTAACAAAGAATTGAATTGCTTGTTGTCATTGATCACGCGTTCGATTAATTTTGTCTGGTGGATTTTTGCATTGTGATGCCTGCTGTTATTTTGCTGCACCTTGTGCAACAGCCATCTTTGCTTTTTGACTTCTCTGTACTGTAGTATGAGGAGTAGCGCGAAAGGCATTCCGTTTAGGACCATCCTGCTCAGATCTTGTTGGGACATGTTTCACGTCATGAAGAGTATCGCTAGAGTACTGTCAGTACAGTTTTTGTATACTAGTAGACTTTTAGTTGCAACTGCTTGGTTTCTTCACGGACAGCCACGCGGAGGTCATACGGCCATCGGCTTCTCATCAGCTTTTCTTCAACAACACTCAGCACGATGCTTTTACTCTATTCCAAGCAATCTCTGCTCAGGTGAGTATTGCTTTTTTGAGACTCAATTTTCGTTTTCAAAAAGGATGACAAATTGTTGTTTTCGGAATCCACACAATAGGCCAAAGAGACATTAAAGATGGTAATGTATGAAAGATGTACAGGACAAACTTCTCACCATGGATGCAGCTTGGGACTGGATGTGGCATTATAGCATTTTTTCTGTAGAGGGGTTCATTTATATTATTTGGAAACAGGCTTCCCAGGTGGTTTTCCGAAGTCGTTTGTGAAATAGCTGAATATCGCCACCAGTACGTCCCAATCGTGAAGAGCTATGATGGTCACTCTTCACGCTGAGTGTAAGGGAGGCCACAGACGGGTTCAGACAGGAGGCTCTTCACGCGGCAAGAAGGCAGGTTCAGCGGACGTGTCGCAGCGCATGCTGTGCTAGTATAGGACGTACGGTGGTACATTCTAATGTTTTTATTTTATTTATGTCTTATTGATTCTTTTATTTATTATTCTACTCTATTTATGTCTTCTATTGTATTTAACTTGACGCGAAATCACCACATTATGCCGGGCCTCGTACGCCAACTCTGTCTTCTTGCCGCGCTCTTGGGTACCCCAATTGGACTAGCTGATCTTCTTCAGATGAGCTGCTCTTCTTCCCAATCCTTAAGGAGTGTTCATACTAGAAGAAAACAGTGGTCTCATTGACCCCTGCCATCATATAAGCGTGGAATATGCCTTGAGGTTCATTGTCGACATGAGTCCTAGTAGAGACAATGTTCGAAGTCCACCATTCTGTGCTAAGTGAGTTGCGGGGACCACGCGGCGGCGCGGCAATCTGCTCGCTTGGCGCCTCTCAAGCGATATTGTGTAAACTGCCACCACCCACCAGTGGCTGCCACGAAGATGCTTACTTGGGACGATGGCATCCATCGGTGGCTGACGGGCTTCGAATGGAATTTTTGAAAACAGTAGGAGGTCTTTGGAAAATTTTCTTCACTGTAAAGAATCTTCATACCCTT